AGAGTGCCGGAAAATAAGGCCCTCAGGTTGGAAGGCACCCAAAATGCGACTGGGGAAGAGCTGCCTCCTCAAAGTAGAGTTGACCGTGATGATGCGAATGGAGTAGAGCCCGTGGGAGAAAAGTCTGCGGGACCTTCATTTGCAGATGGGGCGCAACTCAAAATGAAGAGAAACAGCTGTAAATATCCATTAATAATCTGAATCTAGACTGTACGACATATGAATCTAGGAGGTTGAACTGCCGACCTTGAGGTTCAAACCGACTGACTATATAGTCTAGTGCATTGGATGTTCCCCAGTCTAATAATGCCCTGAGGATGTATCTGTTCTTGAAGAATCTATCCAGAGAGGATTGTATCCACTATTTCAGAGTTTTCCAGTCTCTGGTATACAGTGGCCTGACAGACTTTTATTGTGTTTATTTGCAGATGTTCGAACACAAGCCATGTACCAGATGATGGATCAAGGCTTTGTAGGTCTGATTTTTTCCTGTTTCATAGAAGATAAGAACACAAAGGTATTGTATTTCTTAACATACACACCAGAGGTTTTAATATGTGTCAGTTCAAATAATAAGAACACAGCTGTTTACCGTTGTAGGTATGTCTTTTGTCAAAAATATCAAGAGTGGCCTGTCAGTTAGTACATTTGTAAAGTTCTTCATAAAGGAGCCTTGGTGTAGCACTGTGGGACAAGTGCTCGGCCACAAAGTCATTTTGAGCCTCCAGGTCAGCAGTTCAAACTCACCAGCTTCCCCTCGGAAACCCTATACAGGGTCGCTATGGGTCAGAACCAACTCGACAGCACTTAACAGCATTCTTCATAAAATTGCTCGTTTCTAGAAACATAAAGCCCATTGTTTGAACTTTTTACTTTATTTCAGAAGCTTTTGCCGTGGGCATCATAAATGTGATATCATCATGAGTGAGCAGTGTGAATGTCTATCAACTGTCTGAGGGTACAATCTCTCTTTCAGACTGGGCTTTCTTTGGGTTTTAGGTTGTTGTTGTTGTTGTTAAGTGCCATTGAGTCGATTCTGACCCATAGCGACCCTGTACAGGGTTTCCGAGGGTGTAAATCTTTACGGGAGTAGAAAGCTTCATCTTTTTCCCGCGAAGCGGCTGGTAGTTTCAAACCGCTGACCTTATAAGGTTCGCAGCCCGATTCGTAACCACGACTCTACTAAATTACAAGAGGATTCCTTTGTGTGACATTTGTTTTGTTTTGTTTTGTTTTGTTTTGCCGCCTTCCTCTTGCTAGACTGGCCGGGTGCTCTACACTTGCTTCCAATCCATACAAGCCCAAAAGAGCTCAGAGTAAGTATGACAGAGAAGTAGGTACAGATTGGTGAGCTTATCTCCGGGGAATTGACTGATTTTGATTTTGATTTCATTGTCTTTCTCTCTACACAGTCCAGTTAGCAGCTTAGACGCTGGGGAGCCCATTGTTATCATCTTCACCACAGCCCCGCCCTGCATCTCCTTTCCTCTTCCTTCCTTGGGGGAATTGTCAAACAGGACTGAGCTTGCAGAGGATTTACAGATTTCTATCGATTCTTGTCTTTGTTATGCCAGAGACTAGATTTCAGAATGAAAGTATCTCATTCCATGCTTTTGTGGACCAGTTTCCTCATTTTAATTCAATTCAGTTCAACCTGAATTAGCAAATCATGACTCAGTGCCCACTGGGAGTCAAGCATCTACCACATGGTTGACACCAAGGATGAACAGATAAAAAGCATGTTTGTTGTGTTAAATTTTCTATTATATTTATTCATTTGTTATTATAGCATTGTTTGAAATAGCAAAGATTTGGAGGGAAAAAAGAAACCCTTAGATATTTAAATGTACACAGAATTGATTAAATAAATTGTGATGCATTCACATTATAATGAAATCTTATACAGCAGAACAAATAACCTGTAAGGGAGCCCTAGTAATGCAGGCATACCTTCAACGGGTATTGGTAAAGCATAAAAACCAGGTACAAGAACTGTGTGCTGTGTGCAGTACGTTACCATCTGGAAGCGAAATCTAGGCATGCATACCTCTGCAGATGTCTTTGTAAATGCACTGGATCATTGGAAGGGAACACGTTGGTCGCCTCTGCAGAGAAGAACTGGGTATTGGGGGGGGGGAGGGGGTAAAGGGTAAAGGAGAGGGAGACTTCTCATTGCATCCTCTTCAAAGCTTTAAAATGTGGAACCAGGCAACATTTATAGTCCGAGAAATAAAACTCAATGAGCGGTGTCACTCTGCAGAAGGAAACACTGATTGTCCCTCAAGTTTTGTTCTCTTGGTGTTTGCTTTGATATCTCTACCTGTTTTTCTCATTATTGATTGGTTTTCCTGCTCTCACAAAGTAGAAGTTCGCTTACTTTACTATTCCATCGCCGTTGTTTCCCAGTGCAGCTACATTACAATGATTTGTTCTCCTTTTGGTTACTTTTCTAACCGTAAATCAAGTTTACCCCATTATTTATTCTCTCAGCAATAGACAACAGTAGCTGTTGGGGCTGCTCATGCATAGTCAAACACCTCGAGGAGTCTGGTGCCTTGATTCGGAGGCTTAGGGTCAGGGTTTCAAGGAGCATCTGGGTTAATTTGTCTAATACATGTTTAGTGTTCTACCTTTCAGTTTACTGCATAGCCCCTAGCGTCTTAAAGACTTGAGAATGTCATCCAAGGCACAACAATTGATCTCTCTGTGCAAGAGCAACACAGGAAGGAGAATCGGGACCAGGAAGGAAATATGGAAGGCGAGGCACATTGGCTCTGTGAACAACTGCCACCTTTGCCAGGAGACCAGAAGAACTGAACGGTGCCCACTTACCTTTACTGGAGGCACTCGCTTGTCTATGCCAAGAAATTTGGTCAACCGATTGGAAGAGATCCATGTTTATGCCCAATCCAAAGAGAAGTGACCCCACAGAAGGTGGAAATCATTGAATAGTATCATTAATATCACATGCAAGTAAGATTCAAAAGAGGATATCATTGTTGATGTCAAGTGGCTCTTGACTGAAAGCAGAGAATACCAGAAAAGATGTTTACTTGTGCTTTATTGCCTATGCAAAAGTTTTTGATTGTGTGGATCATAACAAATTATGGATAACATTGTGAAGAATGGGTATTCCAGAACACTTAATTCTGTTAATGAGGAACCTGTACATAGATCAAGAAGCAGTTACTACAACAGACAAGGGGATACTGAATGGTTTAAAATCAGAGAATATGTGTGCCTATGGCTGCTTGTGAGTTTGATTCTCCTTCCTTCTTGCGAAGCCAGAAGTCACACATAGCCTCCCATTGTTGTAATGGAAAAAAATTCCTTGCACAACATTCCTAGTCTTTTTCTCACCAATGCAGTTTTCCATTTCCTTAAAATTTGTTACTAATAAACCTGGAGATTGTCCTCTGTTCTTCCAAAAAATACTTCAATCCTGCAGAGCCTCTGCATTACATAAGATCATGGGTGGAATCCTGATCCCCATCCAGAATCTTCTGAGGTGGGAAATTTCCACTTGAAAGGACAAGCAGCAGACCAGCCTGGAGTGGCTAGAAGACTAGAAGATACTTGAAAGAAAGACTGACAGGAAAAATAACAATGACGGCAGTCCGACTGATTACTACAAGAACAAGTTAAGTTGTTCGCCCTGGAAACATCAAGGCAAGTGGTCAAATCCCCTCAGGGCAAACCCCCTTCCAAGACTAAGACTCAAAGGGAATACACGAGCAGACATGCACTCTGATTGGTGACTAAGTTGGTCACTGATAAGGGGAACTGAGGGAAAACAGCAATGAAGCTATGAGCTAAGCCCTACAACGTTCAACAGACACCTGTGAACCCGGGTGGAGACGTAGTTGGCCAGCAGTGTGGCAAAACCTGGGGACTCTTGGGCCCAGAGTCAGTGACATAGCCACAGACGACTAGAGTGGAGAGTGAAGCATCCAGCTGATACGAAGAGAGGGCATATGCACAAGAACACCCACACTTGCAGATAATACCCACTTGACCTGACTTCAATGACTAGATGAACAGAGCTCAACTAGAAGAAGAAAGAAGAGGAAAAATAAAAAAAGAGTCATCTGATAAAATTTGATGAACTTGACCTACACCTATGGATGTAGTAGCTCAAAAGAGGGAACAAATCTTTATAGCAAGGATCATTCCCACCCCATCCATACACAGAGTAGACAGGGATGGGCCACTTGGACATTGGCTACCCAAAATGGTGGGGAGGAGGAGGGGAGCTACAAAGGCAAGAAGAAGTGACTGGCTTACAAGCTTTCAAGAGGAAACCTAGATCCCGAGGGCACAGAGGAAGAAGGTAGAATCTCCACTGGGTGGTATCCAGTCTGTCTGGGCGGGGTTAATGAAAGGAAATGCGGATGGGTCTCTTGTGATACGATAGTGAATAATTGTTATCAGGACTGATTGTGAGGGTTGGAAATGTAAAGGCAGACATTTTGTAGCAAAAGGAGGGGAGTGGTTGACTTTGCAGTCTAGGTTCAGAGGTCCCTGGGACCATCAAGGGAGAGGAGTGGAGAGCAGGACCCTACCCAGAGAAGCAGTGACACCAGAGATGGAGGCAGAGATGATGACGTGGAGAGATGGAGCAGCTGGGGACTTTAGACCCAGAGAGGTACAGGGGCTCTGTGCTGATGATTGGGGGGCAGGCTTGCAGGGTATACCCTTTGATGGTTTGATGATGCATGGAGGGGATTGTAACCATGGCAATGAAACAATATACAGTAGGATGAATGTAAAGCTAATATTCTCCCATGTAAACTATCACATAATCCACAATTAAAAATAAAACCAAAAAACACCTCTACGTAAAGAAATCAAAATTATCAGATGAATACTGTAGCTGAAAAGCACAATAATGAAAATGAAGTATTTACTCGAGGAATTGAGCAGCAGTAGAAGAAAGAATCAGCCAACTCGAAGACAGGTCAATTGATATTACCCAGTCTGAAAACAAACAGCACAAGTCCTGAACGGAGCTGAAGAGACCTGTGCCACACCATCACTACTGGCCTAACGAAAGCCCTAGAGGGAGAGGACAGAGGAGAACATGAATATTTGAAATAGTAATGGCTAAAAATGCCCCAGATTGTTGTGAGACGAATGTACAAATCCAAGCAATTTAAAGAAGAAATGGGATAAGTTTAAACAAGAGCGATTCTCTCTTGGATAAATGAAGCGTAGCCATGGGTATTCCAGGGCTCTACGATGTCGCCAGGGCCTAGGCTCCTATCTTTCTGTGTCACCGTCTTGGCATATGGTTTCCACCTGAAGGTCCCCTCATGGTCCCCGAGACTTCTGGAGCTCCAGCCAGAACATCCTCATTGAGGGTCACAAGAAACAGGAAAGGTAGGAGGGCAAAAAGGGACCTTTCCCAGAGAAGTCAATTTCCAGTCACTCTGTTTCAAAATAATTTCAGATTTGTAGAAAAGTTTCAAGAATAGTACAAAGGATTACTGTATGATGTTGTTGTGAAGCGCCGTCAATTCGGTTCTGACTTATAGCGACCTTTATAGGGTTTCCAACAAGCAGTTAGTGGATTTGAACCATCAACCCTAACCCATATTCCCCAATGTTAAGCCATTACTAGATTTTCAGCTCAAGGTTGATGGGTGTCTTCATTGTGCAGCTATCAACCTTTTATTCATGGTTTCTGTTATTGGAGCCCTGGTATAGCACTGTAGGATAAGCACTGGCCTACAAGGTTGGTTTGAACCTGAAGGTGGTGATTCAAGGTCACCAGCTGCCCCTAGGAGCCCTTATACAAAGGTTACTACGAGTCAGAAGCTACTCAACGGCACACGGCAACAACTTTCTTTTGATTGTTGTTAATTTGCTAATGAAAGTATTTAAAAATTTTTAACCTTTTTGTGTTCTTAGATTTCAAGTGGAGTTCTTAAAGTGGTTGGCATGTGATTGGACTTGTTGTATTTTGGGGGTGTTAGCAGTAAGGAGTTAAGGAGCTCTGGTAGCGTAGTGGTTACGAATCAGGCTGCCGACCTCAAGGTCAGCAGTACGAAACTACCAGCTGTTCTGTGGGAGAAAGATGAGGCTTTCTGCTCCTGTAAAGATTTACAGCCTCGGAAACCCTATGCAGGGTCACTATGAGTGGGAACCGACTCCATGGCGCATCTCCCCCTCACCCCCACCCCCAGGAGTAAGGAGTTAGGGTTAGGACTCTAGCTCGGTCTTCGGTTAGTGTTAGGGGGAGGGCTTGGGCTCACACTAGGGCTAGGAGTAAGGCTTGGTCTAGTTTTAGGGTTGCTGCTAACTACTGTCTTTGGTTCCCTGTATGTCTTTGACTTTGAATACTTCCGTATCTGGGTTGCTTTCTGGGTGATGCTGTCATTCATGTATGTTAGTCGCGGGTTGTTGTTCGCTGGTATCGGCTCTCTATCCGAAGAATTTCCTTTAGTGTCTTTTGTAAGGTTGGTCTGGTTTTTGTACATTTAAAATTTTTCTGTTTCTTTGCAAATGTCCTCATTTTGCCACCGTATTTGATGGGCAGTTTTGGTGAGGATATGATTCTTGCTTGGACATTCTTTCAGAGCTTTTGATGTGCCTGTGCCTCCCGTTGTCTTCTTACCTGCATGGTTTCAGAGCGTAGTCTTATTAGCTCTCCTAGGTAGGTAACTTTGTGTTTCCCAAGCTGCTCTCAGGATGCTTTCCTTGTCTTTGCTTTTGAAAAATTTGATTATAATATGTCTTGGTGATTTTCTCTTGGGGTCTGTCCCCTGGACTTTGAACCACAAGGTCCATAGTTCAAGCCCAGCAGCTGCTCCATGGGAGAAAGATGTGGGTTTCTACTCCTGTGAAGACGTAAAACCTTAGAAACACCATACAAGGTCGCTATGCATCAGAACCAACTCAGCAGCACTTAACAACAGTAATTGTCTTTCGCTATCTTCTCACCTTTCATGATATTAGGGGAGTTTTCTTCCAGCAATTCTTAGGCAGTTTCGCTTTGAATTTTTGTCCCTTCCTATTCTGGAGTTCTAGTCACACATAAGTTATTCCTCTTGATAGTGTCCCATATAAATCTTCGACTTTCTTTGGATTCTTTCATTCCTCTTTTTCTGATTGTTTCTGTGTTGTTGTTGTTAAGTGCCATTGAGTTGACTCTAATGACTCAGAGAGACCTGGGGTAGGGTTTCCGAGGACAGACTGGTGAGTTGGAACCTCCAACCTTGTGGTTCAAACTGACCTTGAGTTCGAATGCTTTTCCTACAATATCACTCCAGGACTCTAGCAGCTGAATATTGAGAAATTTGTCTTCAAGCTCACTAATTTGGTCTTCCTCCATTGATTGAATTCTACTTCATTGCCCTTTCAGTGTATTTTCTCTGAATTCCTAGTATTAATCATCTGGCTTTCATTAGAAACCATACAAAAACAGAAGTTATTCTGTTTTTGTATGGCTTCTAAGTTTTCATTTTTTTTTTTTTTTATCAGTTTTTCTAGTGTTTTCCTGGATTCTTCCTAAGTTTGTTCTGTATTCTCCCCATGTGTTTCTGGATCTTTCTCTCAATTCTTTGAAGGTACCTAAATATCATTCTGTAAATTCCTTATCCAATAGTTGTGATGGAATTTCTGGTATTATCCTTTCTGACTCTGTATTCGGGTTACTTGGTTGAGATGCTATGTCTTCTTTCTTAGTTTAAGCTGAAATGGTTTTCTCCATGACACTGTGGGGTCATTGTATTTATAGTTCATCGATGATTGTACGTTGTATGTGTTAGAGACTGGAAGGAGGAGTACAGTTCTCGCTTTGCTGTTATGTAGCTTAGTTCAGGGCAGGTTTCTGGGCGCTCAGAAGCAGGCAGAACCGAGGCTGAGCAGGAGAGGGTGCCTCTGGCTGCTGGGTTGACAAGGGCAGGAACTAGACATGTCCCCAGCTGCCAGGAGGACACGGAACAAGGGAGAACCACAACCTTCTTGCCACCAGCCTCTTGCTGTGTCCTGTTCCTGGTCAGCTTCCCCTTCCCGTCGACACTCAGTCGGCCTCTGGGTCCTAGCCTCTGAAGCGCAGGGCTCCAGGACCACCATCTGCACCTGTTGCATCTGTTGCACTTGGTCTCCCTGTGCTTGTTGCAGATTGTCTGCTCAGTGCATCCGAAGTCGGGCTGGCAGTTTTGTTTTTTTTTTTTTTAAAAACTACTGTCTGATAACCTCTGACTAATACTTGGCCGATTTATTCCCCTAACATTTCATATGATTATGAGTGAGGTTGAGATAAAGCTTCACCTTGCTGTTTGTCTCATTGGACTTTTGTTTGCCTTTGCCTCATTGTGATTTTATGGTTCCTTTTTACCTCCTGTTGTTCTTGGTTGTTACGTTAGTAGTTACTGTAGTATTTATAGCCGGAACTGTGACATTAGCATGGTTGACATTTTGGATAATTGGCATGAGTGGCTTCCACCAACTAGATGCCAACTCGCACCTCCTCAGCTATGCCAACCAGCAGCATCTCCAGACTGTGGAAGCTGCCCCTTGCAGCACAGAAGCTGGAAATCACTGGTTTACACTGCAGATCTTTTACTTACAGGTTTTGTATTTACCCACGTAGGTACCGTTGCCAGCACCTGCCATTTCTTGCTTTACAGCTGGCATCCTTTTCTTTCTTCTCTGAGGAAATTGTATACTCGTTCCTGTCGTGGCAATTTCTTCTTTCACCTTTTGTATGTCTGACAAAGTTTTTACTTCACTTCCATTTTTGAAAGGTGATTTTCACTGAGTAAAGAATTTGAAGTTAAAAAGTGATTGGCCTAACGTAGTCCCCAAAGATAATATTCTATAGCCTACTTTGCTGAGGAGCAATTCGAGTCTTAAAAGCTGGTGAGCAGCCATCTATTGGTCTCTTCCTGTCCAGAGCAAAGAAGAGTGAAGAAGATCAAAGACTCCAGAACCCGTCCAAAGGACTGACTAATGGACCACATGAGCTGACGAGTCTGCAAGCGGGGGAGCGGACACAGGAGGAGGTCCTGGGTAGAGTGTGAGGAAATGTGGAACAAAACTCACCGTCCTAACAAAGAGCACTCTCGTCCTAGAGACTGGTCAAACCCTGGAGGCTCTAGACTCACTCCTGTAGCTCAACTTCCTGTCAGGTGAACAGTAATAGCAGGGAGTCCTGGGGTGTGAAAGTTGGACAGTGAGCAAGGAAGATCACAGAAGAATTGATCCTTCTGAGTTCCGGTGTTAGAGTGGAACATTGAAAGTACCATGGCCTGCTAGAAGGACAAACCAATCTGCATTGGAAGGAATATAACCAGAATGCTCCTTGGAAGCCAGGACGTGAGAGACTTCATCTCGTATGTCACGCCTATTGTCAGAAGGGACCAGTCACTGGTAAAGGCTATCATGCTAGGTAAAGTAGAGGGTCAGCGAAAAAGAAGAAACCGTCAAGCAGATGGCCTGGCGCAGTGACTGGGAGGATGGTTCAGGACCCGCCACCTAACAACAACAAGGAGCCTTCCATTGTAGAAGTCATTCATTTCCGGGCTTACTGTTTCTGTTTATGACAAGTCTTCTGATATCACCGCTAATCCCTATGAGAGTATTAGGCTATTTCATCAGCTATTAATTCCGTTGTTGATAGAGTTTTTGCCTCTTTATCATTCTTTTTTTTGTACATTTTTGATTTTCTGCTGGCCTTTGTGTGGTTGTGATTTCTGTGTTCAGTGAGCCATTTTCAGTGATGGTGGGAGGATAGGATGTGCCTACCTGCCATTAGTGCCCACAGTCACTGCTCTTAAGCTGCCAATCAGTCCTGTCCTGTACTCCTTCATCTCTGATTTCTGTAGCCAATTTAACTCCATTGGCTTTGTGCCTGTTTACTTGTCAACTCCACTCGTGTCCTTCTCCTGGTTAGCTGTTGGAAACTTTGGTCGATTCCAACTCAGAGCAACCCGGCCCTGCCCCACCCTCCCAGGTGTTCTTAGTTTGAAGCCATTGTCGCTGCCACTGTGCCAATCCCTCCATCCCGCTGAGGGGCTTCCTCTTTTCCAGAGACTGGTCCCTCCTGACAGCACAACCCAAGTGCTCTTTTCTTTTTAAAAAAAGCTTGTAGTGTGAGTTGAGGGATAGTTTACATGGAAGAAAATCCGTTTTACGCTCATCATTTCATTGCAATGATTATAGTCTCCTCTGTGCATCATCATCCAACAGTATTTGCTTATATTCCCTCTTTTTTTTGGGGGGGTGGTGGTGGTGTACACAAAAAAACCCTCAGGAATATATGATCATTTAAACAACCAAAGAACATATTCTGCAAGCCTGCCTCCTGGCCGCCAGTACTCAGTCTTTCTCTTTCTATGAATCTAGAATCCTCAACTGCTCACTCTTTCCATGTCCCCATCTCTGCATTCATCTCTGGTGTCGCTGCCGCTCTGGATAGGGTCCCGCATTCCACTCGTGCTCTTCTCCCTTGATGGTCCTCGGGTCCTCTGTTCCTGGACTGTAAGATTAACTACTCCCCACCTTTGTTACAAAACTTCTACCTTTACAGTTGTGACAGTCGCAATTAATCGTGATAACAATTACTCACTATTGAATGAATCATAAGAATCTTATCCCCATCTCTTTTCACCAGACCCATCTAGACAAGATGACAACTATTCAGTGGGGACTCTTTCTTCCCCCCCACCCCATACTCTCCTTTGAAACCTTGTAAGCCAGTCACTTCGTGCCTTTATTGCCCCCTCATTTTAGGTAACCAATGTCTAAGTGGCCAGTCCCTATCAACCCTGTATACAGAGGGGATAGCATTGCTATTTGATGTCCAAAGTCCCCTTGGACTCTGACCATCCTCACCTCTTCCGAGACAGATTTGCCTATTCTTCTGGGTAGTCCATGGTACTTTCAGGATTCTTCTCCAACACCAGAATTCAAGTTGATCATTTCTTCCATAATTTTCCTTACTCATCGTCTGACTTTCACAAGCTTAATGAGGTGATATGGTCAGGCACACCTTAGTCCTCACACTGACCACATGGTTGTTCTTGAACGCTTTACAAAGGTCTTGTGAAGCAGATACGCCTAATGCAATAATATGTCGTTGGATTAAATTAACTGCTGCTTCCATGAGCACTGATTGTAGACCGAAGTACAATGGAGTCTTTGGCAACTTCAATCTTTTCTCCATTTCTCATGACATTTCTTTTTATTGACGTGTAATCTATACTGAAGGTTGTACTCTTTTATCTTCATCAGTAAGTATTGTAAGTTCTCGTCACTTCCAGCAAGTAAAGTTGTGCCATCTGCATATCACTGGTTGTTGATGAGTCTTCCTCCAAAACCGATGCCACGTTCTTTTTCATATAATTCAGATTCTCTCATTATTTGCTCAGCATGCAGAATGAATAAGTATGATGAAAGAATACAACCCTAGTGCACATCTTTCCTGATGTGAAACTGGTCAGTGTTCCCTTGGTCTGTGTACAGGCTCATGTGCACATTCTTCCTGGTGTAAACCACGATTCGTTATCATACACACAGTCAAAAGCCTTTGTGTAGTCAATAAAGCACAAGTAAACAGCTTTCTGGTTGGCTCTGCTTTCCGCCAAGATCTATGTGATGTCAACAACGATATCCCTAGCTCCACATCCTTTCTGACTATATACCACTGCAGCCATTTTTGAATGATCTTCATCAAAATTTTTCTTCCATGTGGTAGTAATGACATTGTCCAGTACTCTCTGTTGAAGTGCCACCTGAAAGCCTGGGTAAAGTTGACTGGGATCTCTCCACTTTGAATTCATGGTACAGTGGTTTCAACGTTGAGCTGCTAACTGAAGGGTTAGCAGTTTGAACCTACCAGCTGTTCGTTTCATGAAAGAAAAGATCTGACAGTCTAGGGAACCCTAGTTCCATGCTGTTCTATAAGATTATTTTGCATCAGAATTGGTTTGACAGCGCATAATAACAGCTCTATAAACCTTTGGAAAGCTTGACGCAACTTCCCAGCCTCTCAGCTTCCTTCTCTCGAGTCAGCAGGTGTTTTCCATGATAAAATTGTTCCTAAACAACAGGCTTATCTCTTTGAATTTTCTTCCTCTTCCAGATCTTAGCCCCACAATTTTCCCTAGCTTTCTAGTACCTTTCAAGACTGCTGTCTTAATTAGCCCATCTCTTCTAGTTGCTCTCCACAGTAGGATTCGTTTTAACCACCTAATCAGAAATTCACAAAAGCAAAAGTCTGCCATAAACTTTGGGTCTCTACCTACCTAGGCCTTTGCACTGTAGGTTTGAGTAAGCTGCCAAATGCTCCACCTAGTCTCTTTTGGAATTTATGAAGATGTGTGTTCAAACCCAGTGTACAATTGGAACGATTTCTACTCGTGTGCCTAACAAACTCCATGGTAACCAGCTAGTAGCTTCAGCTTCTTCGTCAGGGCTTTAGTCACTGGGTGTTGCTTTACAAGGCTTTCGGAAAACTCTTGGATGAATTCCTCCTTGAGAATCTGGATGTTGGGAGGTGGGGATGGGAGAGGGGATGCTGGTCACTGCCCATCATTTGTGTTCTGTCTAGGTTGTGGTATGGGGGCCAGCCACCTGCAGGTGAGGAAGTGACAGGGCTGAGGCTAGATCTTATACTGCTTTACAACTGTGCGCCTATGGGTCCATGTACCTGGATACGCCACTGAGCCCACTGTTATTTAGAGTGTCAGTGTGTTTGGGATGGTGGGCCTCAGTAACAATCGTATCTGTTTCTCTACTCTAGCATGAAAATACAAGTCTTTGTGAATTTCTTACCCATTTCCCCCTCAGGGGAGAAAATAGGAGTAAGTGAGGGCTGCTGGTGAACTCAGAGCTAGAGTAAGTGAGTCATCCCATCTCCACAGTGAACGTGACGGCATCATTGAAAAGTCTTGTAACGGTATATTCCGGACTGAAACCGGCATTAGTTAGCTATTTCCTGTGTCCTGAGAGGAGGAGGCATAAGGACCTCCAGTTCCCAAGGCCTCTGCAACTAGTAGGCTTCCAATGTTCTCCCCAGATCAACCCCAGTATGAATCTGGAGGGTGAGCTACAAAAATACGTTTTAGGAGTGCTTAATCTATGAAGTGAGATGCTTCCTTACCAAGGTTTCCATTAGAACCATCGAGAGCTTCTGAGTATGATAACTGACCTGACCTTTCAGGTATGAGAGAATGGAAATTCCAATCCATGTGGTCCCTCACGTTGCCATTGGGAAGGTGTGCCTGGAATCCGCAGTTACCTTGCCCAAGATCCTGTGCCACGAGGAGCAAGATGCATACAGGAGGGTCCACAGGTAGAGAACCTTTCTCCTCTCTCCTCTCCTTCCTCCTCATGACCTAAACTGCCCTTTTACTTTGAGCAGTTCAACTGCTCTACCTTCGTTTTTCCCCTGTCTATGAGAAGGCTTTAGAGTAGTCTCCAGTCATAACGTTCTAACATTTGTTCCTCTCCCATTAATACCTTGGATCCTGCAAGGGCAAAGACACTTTTGGGGGACTATGAAAATAAACAACATCTTAGTAGCCCTGGTGCCAAGAAATGGGTTTGTGCATTAACAGATGCCCAATAAATGTACATGGTGTGAGGGCTTCACGAGACACAGTCATTTCAAAATGATCATGTGCCTCTTGAATTTTTGAATACGAAACCACACCTCCAAAACCCTTACGTATTTAACAGCATGGGAATTTAAGCCACACGTAGCCATCGTTTTGTTATAGCCCAGGACTGGTTTGTTTGCCACTAACCTCAACTGTTTTGTCCCTTTAGCCTTACACATCTGGATTCAGTCACCAAGATCCATAACGGCTCAGGTAAGGATTGTTCTGGAGTGTCGGTACTAACCCCTGGAATACTCAGCGGACAGAAGCAAATTACTAGTCTTGAGTTGGCTTTCCCAACAGCTTGGCCATTGATCCTGCTCCCAACTTTTGCTTTGTGTTCTATGGACCCTTTAACACAGGAAGAAGTTAGATGAGCTTTATGATCTTACGCATTTTCAATCACCAGCTCTCAGGGATGGGGAAGGGCCCTTACTTGTCCTGTTTGCTAATTCCCATGGTGCGGTGTCTCTACCATGGCTGATGTCATGATAACTTGACGTCAACCAGCTTACAAACTTCCTGAAATTCTACCATTCTTCTCTTATAAGCTGTATGAGTTGCCACCGGCACACCACTATTAGCCTAGTATATTGCGGGTTGAAAGATACGAATAGCTTGGTAAATAGGTAGATTTGTGTTGTGAAGTGCTGTCGAGTCGGTTCTGACCCACAGCGACCCTGTATAGGGTTTCCAAGGAGCAGCTGGTGAGCTTGAACCTTGCAGTTCAAACAACTTTGCAGTCTGATGCATTAGCACACAGCACCACACCAGGACTCCCAGATAGGTAGATAGACAAGTAAAAAAGAGAGTGCAATAAATATAGAAGGAATTTCTCTATAAGACCAAGGGGCATGAAGCTTAATATAGTCTACAGATATACTTCCAGGGAGCAACTAGTAGGTTTGAACTGCCAATTTTGCAGTTAGCAGCCCACTGCTTACCCTACAGTAACACACCGGGCATGTATGTATGTGTATATATATTTGTTGTTGTAAAGTGCCGTAGAGTCGATTCCGACCCATAGCGACCCTGTATAGGGTTTCCAAGGAACAGCAGGTGAGATTATATACACACACACACACACACACACACACATATATATGTATATGTTGTTGTTAGGTGCCATTGAGTCGGTACCGACCCATAGAGACCTTACACACAGCAGAACGAAACACTGCCCGATCCTGGGCCAACCTCACTACTGATGCCATGCTTGAGCCCATTGATGCTGCCACTTGGCCAGTCCATCTCACCGGGGGTCTTCCTCTTTTCCTCTGACCCTCCACCTTACCAAACATGATATCCTTCTCCAGTGACTGGTCCCTCCTGACAATATGTCCGAAGTAGGAGAGACGAAGTTTGGCCATCTTGGCTTCCAAGGTGCACTCTGGCTGCACTTCATACATATATACACAATATCAAATGACTTTTCTCCAACACACATACTCACCCACCTACACCACGTATGTGGCTCCCCCTGACTCTAGACCATGCTGTGCAGTCTGCCCCAGCTACTGGCAAAGTCACCAGTGAAGAAGGGGAAGCTCTCAAGTGTCACTGACAGTTACTTTGAGAAGTAAAAGAGATGGTTTGGTTTATCTATTCCATCATTTCTGTCTGGGGTGACATATTCATGTGTCACCAGACTTGCCACACTCACTGGAAAAGCATGGTAATAGCTCCAAAGTGGACAAGTCCACCAGTGGAACGGAATAGCATTCAGATATGGACCTGTGTAGATTCGAGAATTTACGTTTGACAAACATATTAGTTCAGATCAATGGGAAAATGAATTCTTCACTAAATAAAGCTGGGCTGGTTTCCTTGGTTTTTTAGTTTATTCGTTCACTAAAAAGCATATGCCACTGAGTACTTAACTAAAGAGACTGTTGAACCTTTGTAGACTTCTTTTCTTCTGCTCCATTTGGGGAAAAATGTCTATTCCTACTACACATTTCCCACATAAGAAAACACCAGCTCTGTTGGAATTTCCACCATTAAATGGGGTGTAAGCACTTTGGAAAAGAGTTTGGCAATTGCAATGACCAAATGTCCCACCAGTTTCTCTCCTAAGTATTTCTTCTAGAGAAATGGAAAGAAAGCTATATTCACACAGAAAGCTGTAAATGACTGTTCATAGCAGCAGCATCCATAGTAGCCAAAAGCTAGAAACAACCCAAGGGATGATGTAAGGGGCTTTCTAAAACTTGTGGGAAAGTGGGTTTAAAGATAGTGGAAGTTTTCCAAGAACTTTTTGAGGCCCCCGCGTGACTCCATACAACAAACACTGGACTGGCTAGTCAAGCCCGCCACCGCTCTGTGGGAGAAAGAAGAGGTTTCTGCTCCCGAGACTGGGTAAAGCCTCGGAAACCCTACGCAGGTCGCTGTGAGTCTGAAGCAACTCAACGGCACTTAATGACAATACATATTCATAAGGAACCCCAGTGGCGTAGTGTGTTACATGTTGGACTGCTAACCACAAGGTCAGCAGTTTGAATCCATGAGCTGCTCTGCAGGAGAAGGATGAGGCTTTCTTCGTAAAGATCTGCAGCCTCAGAAACCCTACACAGGGTCTCTGTGAGTTGGACAGCGAGAAGGTACACAACAACATAGTCGACTGTTCCATTTCCATGCAAAACAAATCTGTGGGGCTGGGAGTGTGTCAGCAGCTGCCTCGGGCCAGGAGTGGAAGCGCATTGACTGCAAAGACGATTGCAGAGGGAACTTTTGGGGGTGATGGAAGGTTGTGTATATCTTAATGGATATATACATCTGCTTACGTTTATCAAAACTTAAACTGGGGGCATCTTAAGGTTAAGTGATCATAAGAAGCAGACATCAAAGAAAACACTGATGGGTTTTACTAAATAAACATTAGATTTTTATAGACCCCTTCCAGAAAAATCAAGTTGTTAATAATCTTTAAAAGTTAACCTTTGGAGGCAGGGCTTGATGGCGGCTAGGGTGGAAGTGCAGTGAAGTTCACCATCAGCAATACCACAGAATACCAGGCAAAGCAGACCCAGGGCAGAGCCCCAAAACTCAGAACCACAGAACTAGGAATATTTTAAAAGTTTGAAAGTTTATAGATACTGGAACTTGAAGCTGAAGGAAGAAATCGCGTACTTTTGAATCTACCGGGCACGGAGTCCCGGAGCCGACATCTTGGACGAGACCAAACGGGAGCAGAAACACCACAGAAAAATGCCATGAGAACCTTGGAGCAAAGGTGGACAATGCACTTTGTGGGTTTTGCTTTGTTCTGATTTTCTTTTGGCATCTGGTCATTTGCCCCCCCCCATTGTTTGCGCACCTCCATTCCGGTGACTATAGGGGGTGCCTGAGCTAGTGGACACCCCTCCACCCTCACCACTGGTGGGTTCTGCCACGCATGCGCACAGATCCTCAGCCAAAGAGCAAGCCCTGAAGGTTTTTGTTTTTTTTTTTTAAATACGGGAAAGGTCAAGACAGGGCTGTAGAGAGGGAAAGAAAGTTTAAAAACAAAACAGGTCAAAACTTAAAGCCTGTGAGGTATAGCAAAACAACCAACAGTGGCATCTTGAAATCTCAGCCAGCTTTGAAAGCAAGAAGCTGAAGAAACGACATTCAAGTCATACTCATATTAGGCTACAGATTTT